TTTACCTTATTAAAACGGCAATAATATACACGAATCCAAAAGCATGCGACGACATGACAAACCATTTTAGGACCCACGTTCATTAGACCTTACTTTTGAGTTACCCTGTAGACTGTGACAAAGAAAATCAATCCCGATAATTCAACATGATATTTTGGGTTCCACCAGGCATTGACGGACAAAGTAATTATTTACAATACAATAAATTAGGATCAATGGTTAATAACATTAGTTATTAGGTCGTGTTAGTCTCTAGACCAATTATTGAGCGATGTATTCGCTCATTACTTAACGAAGAGATCTTTTAGCGACGAACAGATCGATTGCTCGCAGGATTCGTTTTGTTCTTGTTCCTTCGCATTTCCAGAGAACCAGCTGGTTACTTTGCTGCTAGCCTTTTGTTTGTTCGGTGATACCGATGGTTTCCCGGTTGATCCGGACGCTTCTGAATCACTTCCCTTTTGCGCTGTTAGTATTTTCTCAATCGCGCTACCTAATACCTGAAAATCAACATTTTATTTGAAACAATCAAGTTCTACTATTGCCATACACATTCTTAATTCATTCGCGTCGTACGTAACGTGGCTCTTTCAACTTTAATAATTCAAATTCAAGTTCAAATCCTAACGATAAACTCGATTACAATGTTTCAAATGCAATTTCAAACATCTATAAGTACAATTTCAATGTAAATTCAAAAGCTTCTCATCAGCAACGGAAATCATAGAGATATCTATTCATGACAAGCTCTTCAGGACCAGAAAACCAATGCGATTTTCAAAAGAACGTCATCATACGTATACATCGGAATATGTAAAATCAGTATTTTAATAATAAAGCCTCGCTTTTAGAACAAAGGAACAAAGTTGTTTACCGACCTGTGCGTCCACTTTTGTGCCGCTGGTATCATCCCAGACAACTTTGTGTCTGAGGTCCCCTATAGCCGCGGTTTTACCGAGCGTCTCCTTCACTGCTTTCACAACCTTCGGTTTATCGAGTTTAAAGTTCAAGCTGGTCGCGAATGAGCTCTCCGGTTTCTGTTTTTTCGACATCGGCTGGTGCCTCTTGGTGAACCAATTGGAGGGCGCCATGAGGGTGGACGCGGCCACCTTCGAGGACTCTGCGAGCTTCTCTTTGGCTTCCTGTAGGATCAACACGTCGAAGCTGTTCGAGCGGAAACTCTTTAATCGATTTCGCTTTTGCTCGGTCGTCTTCCCGGACCAGCCCTTGCTCTCTTCCTGCGAGCCAGACACGTCCTCCCCGCACCGGTTGATCTCCGTTGCCGATGACGCTAACGAGCTCAGGATCGATATCAGATCGGTGTTCGAGCAGACGATACCTGTTGTCCCGGAAACGGACGAACTCATGGCTCGCGGGATATCCGAGCTTCGTCTTTGCAGAGGCGACGTCTTCTGGTACTGAGTGTAACGTTGCGAGGAACTGTTGCCTTCTAACGGCTGAACCTCGCACACCTGCTCCGTCGACGTTTTGTACATTACCAGACGAACCTGGAAATAATTATTTTCCCTTAGTTAGGTCTCTAATCGTCGAGAACCGTTCATTCGAGCAAGTAACTATATTCTTTTAGTGTTCAATTTCTTCTGCAAACATTACAAAACGATCATTTGTTTTATTCCTCGGTAGACAGACGGAAACACTTTATATATTAACTTCAATCATTCTTTTCTCGCGTGCCTGCGCTGAAAGAAACGAAAGAACCAGCGCATTAATGTCAACCAAGCCGCGTTTCGTTTGAATCGTTCCTCGCGGAAGTGAACCCGACCGACCCAGATTCATCGAATGAAACGTAATTGTACAGTTCTCACCTTTCTCGGTTTAATTTCCGCAATATTGTCCATAATGTCTAGTTGAAGATTATGAGTGCTCCCGCTGTTGCTCGGTGGTCCTGATAAACCAGACTTCGAGTCACGCCGGCTGGGCAATATTCTGGCACCCCCCATAGGAAATGCGGCGATAGATTCGCGGCGATTTCGGCCGAATAATGTTGATGGCGGCACTTTAGAAATCGTTACGACCGAATGTCTTCTGCCGCCGGGTTGAGGAGCCGGCGCTTGAGACAGAGTCGCCAGGAAAGCGGCCTCCCTCGGCGATGGTCCTGACCCTTCGGCGCCGCGCTCGCTTAATCGCCTCACCTGTTCGAATGAAGGATTTCATTTGGTCGCCCCATATGTTTGCGTCGCGGTGTGCTAATATTTCTCGCGTTTCGTGTTGTAATCACAGGACGACACGAGTTTGAGCTGCTTCAGTTTAGTCGGTAGAAGATATTCGAGAGCGACAGGTCGTGAAATTTTCGAAATTTTATATTTAATGAAATATTATTTTATATGGTAGAAAAATAAACGCCACGAACTTATGGGGCGACATAATAGATAAAGTCTGATCAGGGTAGACCAGGGTAGATCAGGATAGACCAATCAGATCGGAATAAAGATTCATTCTACAGACCAAGAATCGGATCGAAATTAATATTCATTCTACGAACCAAGGATGAAAAATATTCTGAATATTTTCGAATGTTATTGTAGATTAAAACTGAATGATCGATTCATCATACGTTTCTGTTGCATTTGCCCTAAACGGAATCTAACGATGAGGTATTATGTGTGCTTTTTAAATCGTCTTTAGATCTGGGTTAAGTATGGATTAGATTGAATTATATCTGGAGCATGTTATGTATAACCTATGTATCTATTTATTTCTAGGGTAGCATTCAGTGAAGTCTAGATTGACAGTGACCTATATAATTTGCTTCGATTACGCGTTACTAAGAAACATGAATTTGGTTTGCAAATGGTTAAACAGTACCTGAGACGCAGTTATGCCGGAAGTGCATTGTGGTGTCGGCAAAGAGTGTTTCCTGGTCTCCCTCCATGGGTACAATAGATCAGGATTCAAGGATGGCAAATCTGGATCGAGAGATCGCGGAGGTGACTCGTTTCTACGCCCTTCCGCTTCCTCTTCGCCTAGCGTGCTTTCCTCCACAATGATTTGTGGTTCGCCAATGCTACTCCCTGCGTTTAGGCTTGGGCTGTTCGATTGCCTCCTCATTTTCGTTTAAAAATAATCCTCTGCGAAGAAACAGAATAATAATACAACATTAGCCATTATATTTCATTTATATTTCAATCGCCATTAAATATAGTTATTATTGAATTTTGCAACAATTATTGAGAAATGCCGAATGATATGCCATTCTGTGAAATAAGATTTACCATAGTCTGCTAACAATTTATTACTATACCTCGAAAAAAGCGGGCAACAATTTCAATTTCTATCCACGTTCCAAGCGAAAGAATTTGTACTTTGTCAGCATCGTATATCAAACAACGAGAACTTTTGCCCGGGATCAATGGAAAAGTTTCCGAAAGTGGATTGGCGTTCATAGTTACATCGATACACGTGCTTGTGGCGCGATTTCGCTAGAATGCTCAGAATTCCGATTGCTGATCTTTTTATTCTGGTCTCTGCGCGATACGAAAAGAATTCCTATTCGACTTTAAATTGTACTTTTGTCTTTAGCACTCAGATTTCAATGTTGAAATTCAAGTGTAAATGCACTTGCTGCAATTTAAATTTACTCTTTGAAGTCCTTCGCCAATGGGATATTAGTTTCAGTTTTATTTAACCTAGAAGGAACACAAGTTTACATTGACGTCACCTCACTCAGAAAATATGAATTTATCAATGATTACAATAGTACCGTTTAAAAAATAAATTTATTTTAACATATACTGTATGATCCGAATGTCTCTTATAACAAATAAATTCTACAACATTTAACGAATATTCAATTGTCGAACAATTGAAACCAAATTTCAAGGGATAATTTCTAAGTATATGACGATTAATTAAAAAAAGGTCTGTAAAAATGCTTCGTAGAATTGAAGGCCTCCATCCAGGAAATCCGTCGATTATAACACAGAGATTCATATTAAAATATAATAATATCATAAATGCCGTGGTATTAAATGTAACCGCAGTTGATTCCTTTAAACCTTCTTCCCTTTCCTGAGTGTGATGGGAAAATCCACCGGACGGAAGTACACAATAACCAACGAAATATTGTGGATTTTACGGAGTATATAAGCGGCAGTCGTTTTTGCATAAACATCATTCGCGCTGAAATCAATGTGACACGCTACAAGTGATAAGTGAGATTTCGTCGAAACAACCATGAAACTCTACATCGTTCTTTGCGTCTTTGTTATCATCGGCTACATCTCTACGGTCAGCAGCGTCCCGTACGCAGCCTACGATGGACCAACTTACGAATTAAGTAAGTAATATAATTCAGATTGTTACATCAGTTCGAAGCATTTCATATTTCAGTGTTACTTTGCATATTTGCCCAATTAATCTTCTTAAAAGCCAAAAATCAATCAACTAATTGTTAATCCTTACACAATATACAATATACCTTTTACAGATAGTTCGATTTTGTGTTTCATTTATTTATCTTCATTACTAAGTAAACCTTTAATTAGAAAACTAATAACCAGACTGAGGATTTTATGTTTCTGTGCTTATATGTTCTATAGAATCTGTTAGGAAAAACCATTTTCCACTGTAATCCTGTTTCTAATAATGTCCATAAAAATTTGGACTTACATGAAATGATATTGATAAATAGAATAAATTGTGATAAATAGAATATTCTGTATTATTTTTTATATTAAATAAATTAAATATTCTTCTTTAACATTCTTCTACTTTTTTGTAGAGCGCATACAGGAGCGTGACGCTGATCCCGATGACATTATGCCGGATGCCGATCTCGACGATTCACTCAGCCGACCACGCAGAGTAACCTGCGACGTTCTCTCGTGGCAATCAAAATGGTTTAGCTTTAATCATTCAGCTTGCGCTCTCAGGTGCCTGACTCAGAAACGTAGAGGTGGTAGGTGCCAAAATGGTGTCTGCGTTTGCAGATAGAGGATAGGGGATAAAACTTCTGACGACAAACGGCTCCCTGAACATATCATACTCTTCGGCTTTTTGTATTCGATACTTCATGCTTGCTGTAACTTTTCAAACCCTCGATTTTGATTTTGATTTAAAACCAGAAGAACACTATGTATCCGTATAAACGCGAAGTGTAAAATTTGAAATTAAAGAAACATTTTTCATGTGAACCTGTAATCTATCTTCAATGTCCTCGAAACAAATACTCTACTGTGAAGTGGCCAGTATTATACACTTAAAATATTATCTTGGAGCAGCCCATAGTAGCTTGTTTTCCAATGAATTCATTGATATTCCATCTGGGAAATAACATTTCGATTCTATGTCAATTCTGAAATTAATATACCGATTTTATTCCAATTTCGAAAGTAATATTTCGATTTCATTTCAATTCTGAAATTAACGTTTCGATTTCGATCCAATTTCGAAAGTAATCCTTGAATTTCATTTCAATTCCAAAATTAGCATTTCAATTTTACTAGTAACATCTTCTCTTGGCAAAGCTCAATCATAAATCCCGTCATATTAAATTCTGTCAGCGAGTTCGAATTTCCGGATGTTTTCGAAGCCGCGTTGGCGTTCGCGAGCCAGAGTTTACAAAGAATTCGAAAGGCAATCTACGCCGACGTGCTCAACAGGATTTTAAAGTGTCATTGATTGTCGTGGCTTGAGGAACGACAGGCTGTACGTGCTCCGCTGACAAATCTGCAACTATCGATTATCGTTCAATCTGCAGAACAATGTTTGGATTGGAATTATTGTCCAATTACTGGAAGAGTTCGAGAATTGACTTCCTATTGGCACAGACCGCGTTTACCTTCCATTCGCCGAGTTAATTGAGTTCATTCGCTGAAACGTATCTTCGCCATACCAATATCCGAATAAGTTCATAACGCGATGGAGCCCTCGCTGTTCGATGTCGCTCCCCACGTGAAACTAGGTGAAAAGAGGAGGGCTCCGTCGAATGGATGGCCTTCGATTTCTTTTCAGGATTAAGTCTGACCATTGATCGAATTCTTAGGGACATCAGCGGAACCGTCCGAGGGACATTCGAATCGACATTGAGCTCTCTTAATCGGAGCTCTCGTGGACCTCTTATTGTTTCTCAAAACTTCAAATTGTCTGCGTGCCGTTAGTCGATCATCGATCGTTCTTGAGAAAACTGAAACGTGTCGCGTTTTCATCTAAGTATGTTCATGTTCTTCTGGAGAACAGTACATCTTGCAGGTAATTGATAGCAAATGGAAGGAACCCAAAGAAAATATTTAAAATTCGTACAAATTGTAGAAGGCAACTAAGAACATTGAACATTGGAAATATAAACAACAAGTTATGCTTGGTACTCGAGTTCAATGATAAAATTAAAACGTCGGAAGACGTTTGCCTTGTTTCAGGGTGATTTTCGTTGGTTTCTTTTTTGAAAATAATCTGAAGCTATTCCACTGTTTCAGCTTTCACGAGGAATTAAAAAGAGAAATTCGAAGCATCAGAAATACCTGAAAGATAACTGTGTCATTTCTTCTAACACCGACGGGTCCATTTACAAATCAAATTAAGCTTGAAAGTTGTATAACCATTAAATCTACCGTATCCGCTGAACACGTAGAAGATTCGTTAATGCGTACAACGTGTTAAATAAGGTAAAACGTGAAAATAGAGGAAAGTTCTTATTATCGTTTATTATTATCACCACAGGGAAATCCGATCGAATGCTTGTCGCCATATACGAACCAATTAAGCTCGCGTCGCATTTCAATGCAATTTGAGATACGCTCTCGCCGATTAATATTACACGCGAATGCAATGGTACCGTGTACTCCGAACAAAATGAATCGCAGCGCGTTTCTTATTGATCGCGGCATTCGAAGCTTTTACAGGTGTTTATCTGACGAACGGACCGATGTCAAGCGTCGAGCGCAATCGAGAAAATGGCAACTACAGTTTAAAGCGTCGTTCCAGACGTCCATTAACGGCGGTATAAAAATTGTTACCCGTTGACAAAGCGAAGGGACGACGAGCACCGATTATTAAAAAGTATTACGACGACATTGATCACGAGTAACGCTGAACGTTTCCCACGTGACGTCTTGAAAAGACATTCTCCGTGCTTCGAATCCCATACGAGTGACGCAAAAGCTTCGATCTAAAATTATCAATTTAATGAACGAATCCTCGGTCACACGGAAACATTCGCCGATACCGGCCCGTGCTGACACTGGCACAAAAGGATTCGGAATGGAGCGAACGCTGAATTTCCGGCCCGCTTTGCCCACAACGAAATCATTCAGTCCGATGATCTGCAAAGAAAAGTAAGAGTTGGCCGATTCCGTAGATAAAAATAAACCGAAAGCGAAAAATCGATAGCGCCGATATAAGAACGGCCGTCTTTTGAAAGGCCTGCACCTCTGAAGTGTCTCAATAGTCTCTATTGTTACTAGGACAATGTTCTTAGTAGCATCTAATCTATTGGATCTACTAAGAACTTTGTCCTAATAACAACGCTGGAATCATTTAAGAACGTTGCATTTTGCGGATAGGTTACAGTCGAATCTTTTTCCTGCGCAGTCTCGATCGGTATTAGGATTATCTTCGAGGGTCAATGTATAGCAAGGTCAATTATATAGCGGCTGAGACGAATTGTCAACGGATGATACCAATATAAGGTGTCACGCGTTTCAAATGTTTCTCTTTTAATATCTATGTTTGGAAGCATTCTGTTTTAATTCGTTTAGGCTTGAAGGAATAAGAATAATCTATTTACAGCAGCACTGAAATAACTTTTTGATGATAGATTTTCGACATCCACCTGGATTTGCGTTAAAGTGGACTTTCGGATTAGAAGTTTAGAAAAATCGAACCCCGTTTTCTTTGTTTCTTTTTTATCTTCCGTCTCACTGTTCTCCGCGTAATTTCGGGATGCAACTTTGCGAGTAGAAAGTACTTTCGAAAGTGACGAAAGACAAAGAGTGGATGGAATGGATGATGCGTAAGCGTAGTTGGCAAGCAAGAAAAGTTAGGTGGCATCGGACGTCAATTATCGAAAAGGGATTTCTTCGGGGCAGACGAGAGTTCGCAGTAACGCCAGACAAAAGAACTCGCTCTCCCGTAATTTTTCCTTAGAAATCTTCTTTGGGGAATTTCCAAAGAGGAATTTCCCGCGGAGTTTCGTACGATCATCGAGGCGTCAAAAGCAAGAGGGAACGGCAAAAGGGAGAGTTTTCATGCTTCAATGGAGATAAAGTGGAACACTGTCGAATAGGATATCAAGAAGATGGTTTGCGGGACTTAACGCGCCAGAACGGTATGCTAATGGAAATCGATTTCGTAGTCGCGGCAGTCCGAATGGTATTCTTCTTATTTTCCTTGCTCGTTTCACTTATTCACAAAATTCGAAACGAAATTTTGTAACTTAGAACGGCTAAGCTGAATAGACAATCCTTTTTTATCATTTGTTAGAAGAACATCATATTTTTGAAATTAACACTGAAACTACCGAGCAGGTAAATTGACTTTTTGAAGTTCTTTTATACAGACTCCAAGGGTGCATTTATTCAGACTTTAATCGATGTTCAATGCAGTTTTCGTATTCCTACGTCAATTTCCTTAATCATTTTTCAGAGAAATATCTGTTATCTTTTTAATTATTGGAAAAAGAAGATATCAGGAATGAGTCATTTTGATACGTCTGGTAGTTTTAGTGTTAAATGGAGCATAGAATTAATTATTCGAGGTGAGACAGATTTTTATGAACAGACTGCTGATTGTTTGGTTTCATAACAATCCCCATATTTGAATAGCTTTTGTTGAATTACTAATATTTATTTCAAGTAATTTCTTTTATTCGGTGTAGTTTAGGAATTGTAACTGTGATTTTAGGCGAAATAGATTGTAACGCTTAATTTGTTTTGTATAAAAAAGGGATGAATTTTAGGAAACATTAAGTAAGTTTAATCGTATAATAGATTACATATGGCATAATTTCATTAAGATCGAATATGATTATAAGATGAACTGGCCCGAGAAACAACACGTCGAAACGTTGAACATCAAAGCACACATTCCACAAGAACAAGGGTTTCTACATGTTGACTGCATAAGTTATGTCAAACGTCCCTTCATACCGGTATGCTGTCTTTGCTTGGTTTGTTGCTTGTTAGTAACACAGTGCAATCACAGCGTATACTTGAACTTCAAAGGAACAGCATCGATAAAATGATACATATGGATACCTGCTGACCGTTTACGATACATGTGGTTTCTGTGCTTGCAACGATTACAAAAGGTTTTTATTTAATTATTGGTTACTTCACTCCATTATCTTTATACGTGTATTCTCTTTAATCCGTCCATACATAAAATTCTTATTCATTTAATTTCAGAATAGTTGATAATTATTTTACCAAAGTACTAGTAAGTATTTGATAATTATTTTACTAAAGTACTAGTAAGTATTTAATAATTATTTTACTAAAATACTAAAAAATATTTGATAATTATTTGACTAAAATACGACAAAGTATTTGATAATTATTTTACTAAAATACAAAAAGGTATTTGAATAATTATTCGATCGTTGAGAATGTAAGGAATTTGCCTACATCTATATCAATACGGCCAAATTATAAATACTGTGGACTCAGCAAAATTGATGGGGCGTATGTACACGCCTTTTGATGTCGAGGGGTTAAACACTGAAATAATCGAAATGGATGGCGATACGGTTATTGAATCATTTTCCACGGTACGCCTCGTGGAAAGTCATTTCGCTGGGTTACAACCCCTGTTCTTCGTGTTGTATACAAGGGTGGAGTCCGCCACGAGAAAGTTCATTACGGGGAAAGCTACCGCAGGGCTGTCCACGGGGGAATGGAACGCAAGGGATTGCGTGGATTCTTTAATTGACGTTTCTTCAAATTGATAATAGATCGATCATCACTAAATACTGGATCTAATACACTAGAATTTCGAATGTTTATACGAAAAATATTCAAAAAGAAAAATTTGCCAACACCCTTATTCCAAAATAAATTTTTCGAGAAATATCGTTCGTGTTCAATCACTTCTCAAATAGGTCTTATATCATTTAAATGTTTATAGATTTTTGTAGATTATTAACTGATTTTTGTAGACTTAATAGACTTTCATAGATTTCAGGTTATTGCAGATTTCT